TTTTTATTCCAGACTTTGAAGTTTTAACTCAAATCAAATGAAAATTGTATAAAATATAAAACATCTTGGTAATGCACATATTACATACAGTTATCAAAATGGTATGATAACTGTTTCATTGAATTGGAATTATAAGGTTCTATCTGCGTTCTAAACTATCTTGAGAAATTGAGCTTTAAAGTTTTTGCCTTCCATATAGCAAACAATATGTGTGTAATAGTTCTCTTTCTTTTTTCAGCATGACAGAGACCCTAAATATACTTTAAATGCAAATTATCAATATTTTCTTTATTTTGCAAATTGAGGGGGAAAAAAACAGGGCAAATGCAGACAGAACCTTCTAATTGTTTATTTTAACTGTGTTTTATTAACGTTTTTATAAACATAGTATACAATTAACATATACTTAAAATGTTTACATTCACAAAAAATAAACAGATGGAAAATAATAATCAATACAAATTATAATAAATAAATAAATAAATAATAGTAACAGCTTAAAAAAGAACCTTCTAATTCTAAAATGTCATTTTCAGCTTGGAATGAAAAGGTCCTAGGTCCTATCTGGCAAATCATCCACTGTATATATATATATATATATATATATATATATATATATATATATATATATATATATATATATATATATATATATATATACACACATTTATTTAAAGTTTTAGGATGAATATTTTTTCTTGTTTAATATTTTGTCCTGATCAGATGTTTATTTTATTTAATTAATTACTATGGTAATATTTATTAAATTATATGCTTTTTTATGAATTACTGAATTATATGCCCCATGAATTAAATTAAGTATTTGCCCTTCAAGGCTTAATATCAAATTTAAAGACTTTAAAAGAATACAGACAATGAACAAATGAGTTTAATAAACACTCAAAAATGTTTCACTGACTATATATACACACATACAAATATTTCACATATAATATATACATTTTTTTAACAACAGAGCAGTCTGGTGGAATGACAAAGAAAGCTGATCCTGATTGGTCCTTGTTCATGCATTCGAAATGCCGATTGGCTCACAGAAAGAACCTTATAGAGCAAAGCTAGAGTTCGACTTTGTAGATAAAACCTTTTTTATTTTTGTAAAAAAAATAAAAATAAAAAAGTAGTCTTCAAATGTAAGAAACTTTAAATAAGTTTTCATTTATTAAGAAAGTGTGAATACCATAATTTTGACAAAAATTGCAGATAGAACCTTACAATTCTAAGGATTTCATGAAAGTGAGTGCTGGTATGCAGAAATTGTTTTATTGATGCATCATAAAATCCATTAAATAAATCCAGGAAATAACAGAAAAGCGACAACCTGGACAATATAATTTCATACCTAAATGTCAATTAAAGCAACAAGGTTCCATTGTGCGATACAAAAGCATAAATAAATTGATCAAAAACTATACAAACATATACAAATTTTACAACCATTTGACATTAATTAACATACATTTTACTCAATGAATTAGTTTAACTATGCTACAGTTACAGTATTTTATTATAACTCACAAATGTATACAAGTGATGCAGAAGATATTGTGTTCTAAAATAAGCAAAATTCAGGATTAAAGCATTTTGAATTCTTAGCAGACTCTTATCAAAGTCCATTCAAGATGTATTCTACAGTCTTTTCTCTTTGCCAAGTATCATTAAAACATATACTCAAGCCTTAGTGTATCATAACAGTTACCATAGATAAGTTTTAAGACTGAGAACTGTGATGAAGCCACAGATTGTGCTGTGGTGCTACAAATCATGAAGCATATATTTAAAAAGGGAAGCAAAGTTTTAGTTTCTAGTCATCAATAACGCTGAAGGGTGTTTTGTTTCACAGTGTAATCTATATATACATGGCTTCTTTTATGCTTGGATGAAATTGAAGCAGATGAGTCAGCTGTTCTGAGTCTGTTTAGTAAGTATAAAGGTGTTTAGGGAAATAACGAAAGCAGACCAGAATAGCAATATTACTAAGCACCGACTTATTGCATATTAATAAACAATAAATATATGTTGTCAGATTAAGGCTGCACAATATATCTTTTCAGCAATGTGATCATTCGCAATAGTCACATTGCACGTATTTGCAACGTTGTGTCTTGGATTATAATTTATCACTTCTCATATGTTTTTTGAGGTTTCTGACTGTGAGGATTTTAAAAGCATAAAACATTTTTAAATAATTGACTATTTGTAACTTTAAAAAATTAATAATGATTCATTTAATTGAATTGTTTACACAACATGGAATATGCAATTGTATTTTACATTTGATTATTCAATTACTGTTTGCTGAATACAGTAAAATGCTGTTTATTTAATTTGTATCTTTTTCTTTATTGAGTTTATCTATGTTTGTAGATTTGTTTATAATATTTTATGATATTTTTATCTTAAATTATAATTTTTTCCAAAATAGTTATTCAAGTCATTTGGTGAAATTGTATTCATAATCGGAATATATATCACAGAATAAAAACATTTTTTCAATGTTAGATATTTTCAATAATGTGCAGCCCTATTTGAGATAGATTCTTTTTGTTTTCAAAATGTTCAAATTGATGACTCATTGAAGCTAAAATCTTGTATACACTACATAAGTTTAAGTTCTTATTAGTAATCTGCTCTGTTCATTTCATATTCTAATTTTTAATATACTGTACACTCTTATTACAATACAATGTGCAATGTGGTGGCATGATGTATCATCAAAAACTGGATTTCAGATTCTCATCTGTAAAAGTGAAGTAAAAAAAAACTCAAATTATTTGTATAAGAAATATGAACAAAATTAGGGATGCACCATATGGACATTTTGGCTGATATCAATAATTATTTGTTTAGAAGCCAATATACATGCCTATATAGTTCCATCTCAGTTTTTATAAGCTTGACTACATAAAACAAAATGCAAACAATACCACTGGTAACTGATATTATTTCAAAACCCTATTGACTTTGTTCTTCAGTGTGGAAGTGCGTTCGATTTCATGATTGTTTTAGAACTTCCGATTTAGTGTTGCCTGCATGGGAGAAATGACTATAGACACTATGGTCCTATAGGAATATTAAATGGCAGAAAATGGTCAAACCTACAAATAAGTGTGTTCATGACTATACATAACAGAAGAAAAATATAATAAGGACATATCAGTTTGCAGCATCAATCAGCATAACAAGCTAATGGTTAAAAATCAGTGGAAGTGAATGAGACCGGAAGTGTCAAGCCCAAATAAATTCCAATGGCAGCACCCTCTCATTTGTGAAGATGGCAGATCCCAACAACAGATTTTTTTTTCCACAGTGACAAATATGACCAATATCTTATTTCATAAATCTTTTAAGGTGTATTTACATGACACATAATGATAAAAGGAACAGTCATATCTTAATGGCCAGCAGTATACATCTTAAGTAGATAAACTGCCATCCATACAACACAGATAATCCATCATTAATTTGCTTCAATATACTGGGCTATTAACAATTACATTAATTATAATAATTTTTAGGTAAATACTGATATGGCAACCGATATATTGTGCATCTTATGAAGATCAACTGACAGAAATAATCTATCATTTATCATAACAGGCCTTTAACATTAAAATGAATAATTTATTAGTCATTATGACACCTGTATATTGTACATACCCATTCAACCAGAAGAGAACTGGTCGCCCTGACTGAGGCTGGTTTCTCCTGAGGTTTGTTCTTCACTTTCGTCAACTGGTAGAATTTTGGTTCCTTGCAACTACCACGTCTGGCTTCACTGGTTGGGAGTGGATTTGCTATTTAGGGGATCGGCCTTCAGCAGTGTTATTTGGATTACAAAGCATCCGAATGAAACTGAACTGAACTTCAACAATGACACATATACCAAACTGAACTGAATCAGTTTTAATTTACCTACATCATGCATTCTAAACTACTCTCCTTGCTGCATGACTTGCCTGAATATTTCATAGTTTGTAATATTTTATAGGCTTTTATTTGTTCTTCATCCACGTTAAGCTGCTTTGACACATTCTACATTGTAAAAAGCACTATAGAAAGAAAGATGAATTTTATTATAACAATTTATCGGTTAATATATTTGATATATTAACCGATATATTGTGCATCTTAAGTAGATTGACCGCCAAAAATAATCCAACATTTATCAGCTGTTATATATTAGGTCAATAACAATAACATTAAAACTAATAAAGTATCAGTCAATACTAATATAACAACCAATATATTGTACATATCAGTCGATATTAATGGCAATCGATATATTCTGCATCTTAACTTTGATAAGTAGATCAACTGCCAAAAAAAAAAATGTTTCTCAGTTTTTTTATATTCGGCCAATAACAATGACATTAAAGCTAATAATATATAAGTCAATACTGATATGACCACCAATATATTGTACATATTGGCCGATACTGACATGGCAAACAATAAATTTTACATATCAGATGATACTGATATGGCAAGCAATATTTTGTGCATCTTAAATAGATCAACAGGCAAATAAATCCATCATTTATCAGCTTTACTATATCGGGCCAATAACATTAAAGCTAATAATTTATCAGTTATTACTTATAATTGATTTGATTTGATATGCCAACTGACATATTGTACATATTAGCCGATACTATAGGGCAAACGATATATTGTGCATCTTTGATAAGTAGATCAACTGGCAAAAAAAGTCTATTATTTTTCAGCTTTTATATATTGGGCTAATAACAATAACATCAAAGCTAATAATATATCAGTCAATACTGATATGACCATATATGGTAAACAATAGATTTTATATATCAGATGATACTGATATGGCAAGCAATATATTGTCCATCCTAAATACATCAATCGGCAAATAAATCCATTTATCAGCTTTACCATTTCGGGCCAAAAACAATAACATTAAAACTAATAATGTATCTGTCAATACTGATATGACAACTGATATATTGTACATATCGGCCGATGTGGCCAACAATATATTGTGCTTCCATAAACAAAATGAAAAGTAAATATGACTTTTAGACATTATTTATATGCTGTTTTGCTGCCTGTCTGCACTCCCAGAAACAATTTCTGGGTTACTACCACTCACTGCCGGATTTGTGCTCTTTTTGCCAGAACTGCTATCAGTTATTTGGCCATGAGTATGACCCAAAGCATGTTCCCTGCATGCCTTGCAACATTCTATCAATGCCAGCATTTCTCCCCTCAGCTCTCGGCAGCGCAGGGCATAGAGAAGAGGGTTTACACAAGAGTTCACCAGACACAGTGTGCTACAGAAAGCGAACATTCGCTGTTGTTTGTTTGTCAGGGTCACTCTGACGTCCACTACCATAAAGGACAGGACGGGCAGCCAACAGATCGCCAGGATTAGAAGGATCAAACTAAAAGTGTGTGCGAGCTGAATGTCCATTCGCATTCGAGCCTGTCCTTTCACGCTCTGCCTCCCTAACTTTGGTCCACCCATATTTGCTTCATGGCGATTTGCTTTCCACAGGATAAGAGCATAAGCCACCATGATAAGAAAAAGCATCACAAGCTGCAGACCCGTCCAGCTGGCCAAATAGTGATGATCCACGTACGGGAAGAGACGTGAGCATGGACGATCCAACCAGGTTTTGCACCTCCAGCCCATCAAAGGAAGGAATGAGATAATAATTGTCACACACCATAATAATAATATGGCCAGTTTGGCTCTAGTGCGTGTCAGTAGCAGCTTGTAATTGGAAGCCTGGTAGATGCAAAGATATCGGTCCAACGCTGTCAGCAAAAGGCTTCCCACAGAGCCCGTAAACGCCATTGTGACGCCACCAAGCTTGAAGAGATAGAGGTTAGCATCGTCTCTCTGACTGAGAAGATGGAAATCTAGAAAACTGATGGTGAAGAAACAGCTGGCAAACATGTCGGCCAGTGCCAGGCTGCTAATGAACAGGTACGATGGGCGTCTGCGCAGTGCTGTGGAGCTCGCAATGGTCAGCAGGACCAAAATGTTCGCCAGGAAAGTCACTGGGCCGGCTAGAAAGCAAATTGAGCTGATAGCTTTCTGCTCTTGTGTGGTCAAAACCATGTAGCACTGTAGGCTATAGCATAAGCTTTTATCTGTAACAAAATGGGTGGGGGGGTTACTTCATGTTTAAATGCAATTCATTTAAAGGTTTATATAAAATGTACATTTTTAATATAGAAAAAATAAATTAATTGAAAAATAGATAAAAGAATTTCAATGTTGTGTTGAACCATTCATTTATTCATTTTCCTTCGTCTTAGTCTCTTTATTCATCAGGAGTTGCCACAGCGGAATAAACCACCAACTAATCCAGCATATGTCTTACACATTGGATGCCCTTCCAGCTGCAACCAGTACTGGGAAACATCCATACACATTCATTCACACACATACTACGGCCAATTTAGCTTATTAAATTCACCTATACCAACATCCATATACATACAAGCGTCGGAGTTTATTAAATTTTCAGGAAACCCATGCAAACCCTGGGAGAACAAACTCGAACCAGCGACCTTCTTGAGGTGACAGCACTAACCACCGAGCCACCATGTTACCCCTGTGTTAAACCATTGATTTAAAATTTTTGGATTCCATTTACTACACTTTTATATTGGGGTAACGGTACACAAAATTAATGGTTTGGTACACATGTGATTTTTTTAGAAGTGACAGTTTGGTTTAATTTCAGTACAGTTAGGGAGAAGAAATACAAAACCTTAAATTGTCATTTTTTATTGTTATTGTAAAAATAAAGTTTCTAAGAATTTTTAATAAAATATAATTTTAGAATTGAATTTCTTCAATATATATATATATATATATATATATATATATATATATATATATATATATTTCCACTTTTAATATTATAAATATATATTTAAATTAGGAACCGCTGATATTGACTTATAATATGAATATATTTCAGTCATTATTGAACTCTAATTTGAAATATGTTTGAATATGTGAACCAATAGGGCGACATGGTGGCTCAGTGGTTAGCAATGTTGCCTCACAGCAAGAAAGTCTTGAGTCCCAGCTGGGCCAGTTGGCATTTCTGTGTGGAGTTTGCATGTTCTCCCTGTGTTTATGTAGGTTTCCTCCATGTGCTCTGGTTTCCCCCACATTCCAAATAGTGTGTAGGTGTGTGCGTATGTGAGTGTATGGGTGTTTCCCAGTACTGGGTTGCAGCTAGAAGGACATCCACTGAGTAAAAAATATGCTGAATAAATTAGCAGTTTATTCCACTGTGGCGATCCCTGATGAATAAAGGGACTAAACTGAAGGAAAATGAATTAATGAATGAATGCTGAAAAAAAAAACGTATTGCTTGATGTTAATTTGGGTTAATAAATAGCAACAAATTGCACCTTATTGTAAAGTGTTACTAAACTTACAAGCAAAATTATAACAGAACCTGAAAAGACATAGCATGATATAAAAAACCAAACAGGCCATGAAACAAACAGTACCTGTGGTTGAAATGTTCTGTGTACTCAAATTTGAGTAAAGCACAGTCGTAGCTTCTTGATCTTGTTCCAGTTTGTTCTCCATTTTCCCCTGGGCAAAACTGATCTGTTACAAGTAAATGATGAAACATAAGAAAGTTGAATTTGGAATCACAAACCACACAGTCACAAAACTCATTTAAAGTCAAACATGTCTCCAAGCAACATTTTATTAGGCTAATACATTCTATAAATAAAAAGACATTATTCAGGCTGCATGGCTTAGATTTGGGAAGAGAGATAATATTATCCTTAATGTGAAGTGTTCAGACTGTCCCGTGGGTTTATTCTGGTCATTTTGTTACTATGAACTTTTTGTCACTGTGACCGACAGTTCTTCAACGGATTAGAGAGGTGATTATTGCCCCCTGCTGGACAAAAGACCACACCCGATTATTTCTACACAAGGACAAAGAAAATCAAGTATTGTTTGATTCAGTATTTTTCTTAATAATATCCACAGAAGAAAAAAAAAGTATCCTTAAAAGTCCGAGAAACAGACTTTTCATTAAACTTTAAAACAACATTTCCTTCCTTCTCCAAATGAAGATCTAAGGTTTGGTTTACCTTCACATAAGTTTTATTACATGTACAGTAGCTATATTCTATGCGTTGGTGTATATTATTTGTATATATTTGTTCAGCGTACTCCTGTCATTCACTCTTCAGTGTAACATGGCTAGGTTTTTTCTTGATGAATTCATTTTTTATCATTATTCCCAGCATTCCTGCATTTTATTGCATGCATTTTCTCTTTATGTTCACTGATTTGGATTGTTTCTCTATGTTATAGTTTCAAAACTATATAAACAGTTAAACAGTCTGCTTGCTATAGAGATTGTTTTTCATTGTTCACCTTATTTGTTCTTTCCTTAAGTGGGGTAAAGTTGGTTTTACATTCGCACATACGTTCAGTGAGAACCTGTGACATGCTCACTAAAGTGTTTAATTTGAATATTCAGTCTGAAATCACATGTAAGTATGACTTCAAAACAACATTAGCACTAGTTAAGTGACTGTAAACAATGTTGAACTTTGATAACCAATGGTTGCTAACATGATTTGCAAATATAAAACCAATTTTTCCTCAATCTTTTCTTATCAGATGCACTTATTTAATTCTTTTTATACTCATATATTCATAATAAAATACATTTGCTTCATTGTCAATCATTCATTAATTTTCTTTCTGGCTAAGTCCCTTTATTAATCTGGGGTCGCCACAGCGGCTAACTTATCCAGTAGATGTTTTACACAGTGGATGCGCTTCCAGCTGCAACCCATCAATGGGAAACACCCATACACATACATTACGGACAATTTAGCTTACCCAATTCATCTATACCACATGTCTTTGAAAACCGAAGCACCGGGTGGAAATGCTAGCCGAGGCTTGAACCAGCGACTTTCTTGCTGTGAGGCAAAAGTGCTACCCACTGCACCACCGCGTTGGCATGCTTTACTGTGTGTTCTTAAAATATATTTTATTTACAGAACCACAAATCATGTCATCTAATCTTTAATATCTAAAATGTAAAAAAAAAAAAAACAGTTAAACAAATACATACAATTTCCTTTACACAACAAGATATGTGTTTCAGAAAATATTCTATTAGACAAAAAAGACCTCAGGCTGAAATGTCATACAAATATCACAAAGAAAAACCTTTGGAAACTCAAAATAACAAGAGAAAATGGATTCCTCGCATGGTTACTTCAAAAATCTGTTTCTTAGTAATTAACATATTTTTGGGTATTTTACAGGCCATTTACGCCTTTGGCAGCTCAATCTGGGGTTTGAAATGCATGCCTTTTATTTTACCTTTATCTACTTCAGGTTTCTATTGTGCTACAGAGCTTTAACTGAACTAAAACAAGACAAAAGACTATTCAAATACCTCATAAAAGATAGTTTTGATACTCTGCTAATGTAAACACCAAAACAACACCATAAAAACTTTGACACAATATGTGAATCTAACTTTACATCACACTGTATATATTAGTATATCGTCTCTCTAAATAATGCTTGTCATACTGTCACAAATTAAAACAAAAAGAAACCTATTGTTCCTTGTTTAAATTAACAAAGTTGCTTCGTTTCACCCAGGATTTTGGCATAAACAAATGTCTAATGAATTGGAGTTCTTACCTTTGTGTTTTGCTGTTGATGCAGGGTAATATTTCAGAGCCGTTGTCTTTCACAAGTCTTCTTTTTCTGTCTCTGATTTCAACACGAGAGAACACATCACACCCCCAACCTCAGAAAGATAGAACCAAAATTTCACTATAACATCCCAGGCTGTTATAATATGAGCTATGACGCTTTCATCTTGGATGTGCAGAAGTGAAATTCACAAGATTAAAATGACATTACCGAGCAAAGCAAAAGTAACCGATGGAAAACACCAAACCCGTTATTTTTTGAGGAACTTTAGTCTCTCATCAAGAAAAATCATCGTGTAATGAATGCTGAAACATTTCTTCTCACCACATCTTCCTCATACTGCCCTATTACACAAATGTACTTATATCACGTGGCATCTGCTGGATGGAAATATCAGTTACATCTCATGCGCATTGTCCCAATTTTTAGACATTTCCATCCCTGTGATTGCTTATTCTGAAAGGCTATGGTGGAGGAGAAGTGAATTTGTGAGGTACTATAAAAACAAGTTTAGTAAGGAAGTTCTTGAATATTTATCATTTTAAACTTCTATTAATAAAAACATAGCCTATTTAGCATTTATTATGCAGTTAGTAAAAATGGCAAATGACATATTTAACTTAACATTAAAAATGTAAATAGACAGACAATAGATTGAAAATTACCTGCATTGAACGTTCTGGGAAGATTATATTATGGTGGTTACCAAAAGATAACCTACATAACGTTCTAAGCACATTTTATTTGCTTCCCACTATAAATAATAAATGGGAACCATATGGGAACGTTATGTGTTTGCAGGCATAATATCTTTGTTTTCAAATTTGACAAATTATCTTTTCACAATAGGCATGTATTAAGTGCAGCGTTATTTTTAATCAACAGGTGGCGCTTGTGAATCTTTATGTACTCAGGCATGTGTGGTATCTATCCTACTGAAAACATATTTTGAATGCAAAAGTATCCAATGTTCTATATTTGTCTTTTTGAAGACTAATTTTATCCATCTGTCTATATCCAAATCTAAATGCCAATTAAAAATGTTTATGTACATATAAATGCAATGATTTCTACAGTTACTTTTTTAGCCCTTACATGGGCCAGCACACGATTCTGACGGTATAACCTTGGATAAAAAATATCACAGTATCACGGTATTGTGATTACTGCTTTAAAATATACTATTTTTAAATGTCTGGGTAATAAAAAAAAAACCTTTAAAAACAATATTTTTTATTTTTTTAAAGGTTAGAAATATTTTGGAGCAGTAAGCAAGCCAGGCTAAATAATGAAAATGAATCATAGACTTCTGCTGTCTTCATTAGTTTCAAAAACACAGATTTCTTTTCCATTTAAAGACATCTTTGGACATTTTCCTGCTGGAGATACTGTTGTCCTAAAAAAAGAAAGAAAAAAAAAACAGTATTACATACCGTAGAAACAGTATTACAGAAAATTTTGGTTTTAAAACATTGACTTTTACGAACAACGGTATATCTTGAAAACGGTTATCGCCCATGCCTAGCCCTCACATATAGTACATGTGCAAATATAGGCTAAAAACTGATTGATGAACAGCATGCAGAACAACACACTGCCTGTTGTATAATGCAGTTATCCCTATTTGAATTCAAATTATTGGAGCAAAACTGCCAAGTAAAAATAGATTTTGTCATATATTTGAATCAAGTGATATAGTTAAGCAATATCTCACAATGGGACCAATAGCCTATGACAGAATGGCTGCTGTTTTGTCGAATAGCACGAGTGAATGTGCAGTTTTTAATAAGATAATCTTATGTTATACTTCAGACACAATATTGCCTGTTTGCTCAGTTATACAAACGAAAACATTACCTTTAAAAGCCACATAAACTTTTGTGCGTGCATTGTCGCTGCTGAACGATTCAATAATTCGCTTTACACTGCCACCTACTGTCAGCTTTGTTTTCTCATTTAGAGAATTATTATTTTATCAAATAAAAATTTGTAACTTTTCATAATAATGGTCCATTAGTTAAGTGAAATTTTTTAAATAATTTAATAAGTATTAACAATAATGAACAGAATTTATTAATCGTAATTCGGTTAACATAAACAATTAACAATTTTATTTTATGTAACGTAAACAAAGTGAATAAATATATTGATCATTTGTTTGTTCATATTGGTAAATAAATTACAATAGACGATTGATTAAAACTATTACCCAAAATTTATCTTATTTTATTATTTTAAAAATAATGTAAAAACTAAATTATTATTTATTAACGAAAATAAAATTATAGATCTCCCAAAAACTACTAATTATTTTGACCTTTGTTTCATTTGAAACCTATTTTATTTGTTTCTTTTGGAGAATTTGAAAATGTTGCTTACCAAACTGCAATAAATGGTCTGTAACTAAATATATCTGAATACCAATTTGAATAAAAAAAAATCCTTAATGAAAAAAATTAATTAAAAGCATGGTCGTTGCAGCCTAAAAGTTGCAATGCTTTGTGCAATACAGTTTAAAGTTACTTTTGTAAATGTCTGCATTATGAATACATGACTTGAAAAGTGTTTGTGGTAATATAGTCAAATTCAGTGCAATAACTTTTATTAACTAATCAATGAAGTGTGTAATTATTAAAAACATCTGAATTGATAACCAGCACAAATATATAATTTGTACAATTTATAATTTGTACCATGAAGTGTTTAGTTTTGTTTCTTGTCCCCTTAACATTGACAAATTTGGTCATTTGACCTCCTCTCAAATCGTGACCGACATGAGCCTCCCTACCGACCTACTTTCCAAACATAGGATACAAACTTTGGCCAAGCCCCCTGCTAACTAAACCAAGGCTGTGTTCAGTGGGTGTGCCCTTCCATGA